GAGGAGGGACCTGCTGCCTTGATAACAGCTTCTCCTCCATATCAACTTACCCTGGCTTTGTGCCCTGGTGAGGCCATCCAGACAAACAACTAGAGTGCAACACCATGTTCTCCTGAGACTGATGGAGGCCTACTATGCGGCTTGGCATTGTCTTGGTCATAGGTTCGTGCCCATATCACTGCCCTAGTTGATTTTCTCATTATCATTATTATTATCATCATTATCATTATTATCAATATTATTATTAATAATATTATTAAGAAAATCCATAGGAGCCATGATGAGGATTCGAACCTATGAGGTGGGTGTTACCATGCACACGCCCTAGTCAACTAGGCCCCAACATGGTTATTATTATTATTTTTATCATTATTATGCATCACGTTAGTGAGCTTACTGATTATTACTTTTATTATTATTATTATTATTATTATCATTAGTATTATTCACCGAGAGAGAGTAATCACACTAACATGACTGCATCAATCAGAAAATCCGAAGGAGCAGTGGTGATGGGTTCGAACCCATGCGCTTGGTGTTCCCATGCACCAAATAATTATTATTATTATATGACTATTATTTTTATTGTTACCATTATTACTATTTCTATTAATATTACTATTCTATTTTTTTTATTACTATTACTATTATTATATGATTTCCAAAAATTCCAGGAACAAATTAAAAAGGAATATCACATCACAAATAGATTAATAATGGAGCACGAATGTCAAACAGGCCCAGGGTGGGCTGGGCCGTCCCATGATGCAATCCACCAGCCCACACAGGAAAGGGAAGGTCGTCCCCACCCAGCCCACCACCCCCTCACTCAGTCCACTCGACGTAGGCGTGACTTGGCCAGCAATGGTAGCGACAACACTTCCGTTGAAACACTAGTGTGAATAAACAGGAACACACTGGTGACATGGTTGTACAGAAACACTAGAGTGAATACACAGGTACACACTGGTGACATAACTGTACAGAAACACTAGTGAGAATACACAGGTACACACTGGTGACATAATTGTACAGAAACACTAGTGAGAATACAAAGGTACACACTGGTGACATGGTTGTACAGAAACACTATGTAAGTGTACTAATTTAGGTACACATACATAAATTAGTACATTAAAGTTGTAGAGTAGTAAATTAAAGTTGTTTCCTTGGTGCCTACTACTACTACTACTAATTTAGGTAAGTGTACTAATTTATGTAAGGTACTTATTTACGTAAATGAACTAATTTATGTAAGGAACTAATTTATGTAAGGTACTAATTTATGTAAGGTACTAATTTATGTAAGGTACTAATTTATGTAAGTGAACTAATTTATGTATGGTACTAATTTATGTAAGTTCACTAATTTATGTAAGTGCACTAATTTATGTAAGTGCACTAATTTATGTAAGTGCACTAATTTATGTAAGGTATTAATTTACATAAGTTACTAATTTATGTTAGTTACTAGTATACATAAGGAAAGATATATTTATGTAAGTGTACTAATTTATGAAGGTGTACTCATTTGTGTAAGTATACTAATTTATGAAGGTGTACTCATTTATGTAAGTATACTAATTTATGAAGGTGTACTCATTTATGTAAGTATACTAATTTATGAAGGTGTACTCATTAATGTAAGTATACTAATTTATGAAGGTGTACTCATTTATATAAGTATACTAATTTATGTAATGTACTAATATATGTAAGTGAACTAATTTATGCAAGGTACTAATTTATGTATGGGTACTAATTTATGTAATTGTACTAATTTATGCAAAATACTAATTTATGTATCGTACTAATTTATGTAAAGTACTAATTTATGTAAGTGTACTGATTTAAGTAAGTGTACTAATTTATGTAAGGTACTAATTTATGTAGGTGTACTAATTTATGTAAATTTACTAATTTATGTAAGTGTATTAATTTATGAAAGGTACTAATTTATGAAAGGTACTAATTTATGTAAATGTACTAATTTATGTAAGCTACAAATTTATGTAAGTGTAGTAATTTATATAAGGTGCTAATATATGTAATGAACTAATTTATGTAAGGTACTAATTTATGTAAATGTACTAATTTATATAGGGTATTAATTTATGTAAGTACTAATATATGTAAGTGTACTAATTTATGTAAGTGAACTAACTTATGTGAGTGTACTAATTTATGTATATGAACTAATTAATATAAGATAACTAATTTATGTAAGTGAACTAATTTATCGGAGTGATCTAATTTATGTAAGATTACTCATTTATGTTCGGTACTAATTTATGTTAGTTTACTAATTTATGTTCGGTACTAATTTATGTAAGCATTTTATTGGGTGTTTTGTAATTTATGCAATTTTACTAATTGAAGTAAGTGTACTAATATAAGTGTTCTAACTTATGTAAGTGTACTTATTTATGTAAGTGTATTAATTTGTGGAAGTGTACTAATTTAAGTAAGTTTGCACTGATTAATAAAGTGTATAAATATATTTAAGAGGTGGGAATCATTTTGATATCTACCTTCATGGGGAGATTTGTATCACAGTTAATTATATCAAATTGGAAATTAACATTGTTCACTTTTTCCTTTTCAAGTTGTGTTATGGAGTCTAGCTCCTATTCTTCTCTCCCATCTGTAGAAGTTATACTCACCCCCATGGTACTCTCCCCCCACCCAATTCCCTTGATGCAAACTGGTGACCATTGTGACAGTGAGGAGTTCCTTGATGCTTACTGGTGACCATTGTGACAGTGAAGTTTCCATGATGATCACTGGTGACCATTGTGACAGTGAAGAGTTCCCTTGATGCAAACTAGTGACCATTGTGATAGTGGAGAGTTCCCAGTGCGCTAGCTGGTGACCATTGTGACTGGAGATCACCAGCTAGAATCATGGGAGTAGGGAGATTTACGCTGTAGAGCATGCGCATCACCTGACAGGTGGTGCAAGAGGAGGTGCATCAGCTGTCAGGTAGACCAGGTACCGTATGCTCTATGGCATAAGGGGTTAAAGTTGAATGGGCGTAAGTTGTGGTTTGTGCCTAGGACCTTGTGTGGGGTCATCACAAAGTTGTATATCAGTTGGTCAGAGGTGTTGGGATCGTATAGTGTAAGATAAATTTTGCATGGTATGACATGTGCTGTATAGTAAGAAGGCAGAGGGGTTACAAGATGAGGGCGGGGTTATGTTCAGATACATCAGGAAGAGTAGGCGGGGTCAGAGGGCCGGGCTATGTCAAGATACTTAAGGAATAGTGCGGTCAGAAAAATCCTGACCGCATAAGTGCGGTCAGGAAAAACAGAGCAGCCTACACTGTCCGCAGACTTAGACCCATCGGTGAAGATGGAAATGGAGCGGGAGTGTAAAGAAAAGTGTTCAATGAAAAATGTGTTTCAGAACCTTAGGATGGGTAAAAGCTTTAGTGCATATATACCGGCAGGCCTGAGTGTTCCAAGAAGCTTACATTAAGTATACATTGTAGTTTGATGCATCATTCTATAGTTCATTACTGCGGGTAGCCTGTCGTTAGGATATACGCCGACCACGTACACAACGTTAGTTTCTTTCAACGTTATTCTCCAATTTCAGTGAATATTGGAATAATTTTCTAGCCTAGTCAAATGTTACTTAAATTTCCCTGATTACAGCGTGTAGGCGAGGACGAACCAAGTATTCCTTCCTCCACCTATGATGTTCACCACTAATGTTTCTTCCTTATTTGGACGATGTGATCACAGCTACGAGTAGTGAAACGGGTTTTGTGAAGTCGTCTTACAGCTAAGCTACAAATCCCATTTTGTAGAATATTTGACTATTACCATTATTATTTCTAATACGTACTTTTTATGCATATAATATTCAAAAAGAGTAACATAATTCAATAATTTACTGCTCAGTGCTCAATAAGTTCGCTCCTATTATTTCCAATGATATGGTAATATTTCATAGATTTGCTCATTTATTATCTTATGATCTTTTAGCATCTACATTCAATTCGGATTCTATCACCTTTACTAATATCATTAATGAACTGGTGACGAACCACATTAGTTCCTAGATATATATGAATTTCTAGTAATACCCCTCAATGTTAATGTTTGAGGATTTTAACTCTCAAATAATTATTATTACAGTCCATTCATGCTCTTCAAATAATTGCTAAATAATCTAACATACATAGGCACTGGTTCCACAGTGTCAGTCTTATAATCTCTCTATTGTTTTCCCTCTTTTCTCAACAGTGGGTGGTCCTTCGTGTATATTGATTTTCTTAATTAAATATTCTTACATTTGAGTTAAAGTCCCAGATACCCAACAACTTGGGAGGAGATAAATGGAACAAACCGCGCATCATTTACACACACAAACACGTGCAGCAGAACACTGGAGAGGCGACGGAAAAAGTAGGAAAGAAGGGAACATCAGAACGAATGAAGAGAGCAAAAGAGTTATGGGCTCCAGCAAAAGCTTGAGAGGAGGGAGGATATATATATATATATATATATATATTATATATATATATATATATATATATATATATATATATAATATGTGTATATATGTATATATATATATATATATATATGTGTGTGTGTATATATGTATATATATGTGTATATATGTATATATATAATGTGTATATATGTATGTATATATATATATATATATATATATATATATATGTCGTACCTAGTAGCCAGAACTCACTTCTCAGCCTACTATTCAAGGCCCGATTTGCCTAATAAGCCAAGTTTTCCTGATTAATATATTTACTATAAATTTTTCTTATGAAATGATAAAGCAACCCTTTTCTCTATGTATGAGGTCAATTTTTTTTATTGGAGTTAAAATTAACGTAGATATATGACCGAACCTAACCAACCCTACCTAACCTAACCTAACCTATATTTATGGGTAAGGTTAGGTTAGGTAGCCAAAAAAGCTAGGTTAGGTTAGGTTAGGTAGGTTAGGTAGACGAAAAAACATTA